CGGGTGAAAACAATGGGACCTTGCCGAAGGTCCGATGAAATGGAGAAGACTAGATTCGATCCAAGTAATGTTGGGCCGAAGGTTTCCTGCACAGTAAACACACGTAAACTAGGCTCGGGGGTGTTGCCGAGGAAGGCCCCTCCGATGCTAAAGTCAGTACAGTGTGTTGAAAGAGAAGACTATGCAAGAGAATTAGTTGCTTGAGGCTTTGCTTGAATGAATGTACAAATGTAATATTGATGGCTTTTATACCTCTTCATACATGGAGAAGTTGGGCCTTAGCCCAATTGGCTTGCCTTGAGGACTGATCTTTGACTTTAGCACAATTGGAGAGATGAACCTTGACCTTGGGCTTTTAATTGAATCATTTAATGCCTAAGCCCAATTGGACTAAATTGGACCCAAACACAAGATATATATATTTATTGAATTTGTACCAAAGTTACTCATCATAATCATGTGAAGAAGTATCTTTGAGTTCATACATGCAAGTTTGTGTGACTGGAATATAAATTTATGTCATTCCCATGCTTTTTGACCATGTCTGTTAAAATATAACATAACAAATTTCCCTTCAAAGTGCTGTACTGTATGTCAGTTATATAAAGCCTGGAGTTAGAATTATTATTTTTCAGATATGAATACATGCATCAAATATTGCAACTTTAAAAGAGCCTGACTTTTCTGCTCTCAAACTTCAAGTGGCTTGGTCAAAATGGCCATTTTTGCTTGCTTTATTTAGTTGTACTTTGCTGAACTTTCATCTTCTTCTGTAAAATGTTAACTATTCTGTAAACAGTAAAATAGAAGTTTCTTTGTTTGATTAATTAAATTATGATTATCTATCTAGGGTTAAAAGTTTTCAAACAAGTGCATATAATTTTTCAACGCAGTAAGCTGGAAAGCAGGATGAAGAAATAGTCATCTTGGTTGGTCACCTCATCGGGGTATTTGTATGATTGATATATCACCTTAATTTGATATCATCGTGACATTTGTAAACATTTAATGGCCTCTTTTTCTTTTTTGCTTCATACTGGGGGTATGTACGTGTACTAGAGAGGAAGTTGAAATATGGATAGATAGTAAAAAATATACGGATTTAAGATCATACAAAACTTTCGATACGAAACACAATTTTATATGTTATACATGTACATGTATTGATATATGGTAGGAATATATATATAATCGAGGCGATTAATTCATTTATTATCGTCTTGTAGGTTATTATAAGAGTTTACTATTTAGAGTTCATGCTTTTCACTTGTATAGCACAACTTTATTGAGTTTTTTCGCCTACAAATGTTTTTCATGTGCATTTTTGGATTGAGGGATGCTAGTTAGTCCCTTGTGATCAAATTATGATTTATGACTTAATCGGGATACATGGAGATTTGTCTCTGATTATGACTCTTGAAAACTATGATTTGATGGCATTGTCTAAATGATTGATATTTGCTATAACTATTCTGTATTTGGTGCCGTCTCTATATTACCTTAATTTTGTGGATATCATCTTAATTTTCTTCAACCACATACGGCCAAAAAAATTTATGGTGGACATGCAATAATGTAAGTCAGCTAATAAGGAGTATGTCTTTTTGACCTTTTTATCTTAATTAATCACTAATCTTTTTTGTTATCTTGTGGTTTTTCTCCTCTCATTTTCTGCATTTTCAATCTAAACTGTACATTAACAAATTTGATGCAACTTGTACAATCGTGTAATATTTTTATGTAAGTAGTTATAATAATACTCTCCATGTATTTATTTATTTTTTTTACTAAAATTATAAAACTAAATTATAATCACTATATGTTCTTCTCTAAGTTTCTTTCTACTTATTACGGAGTATAATCTAAAAATAAAATGTTTTAACAATTCTTATAAATTACACGTTATTATAAATATACACTATAGTGCATTACAGTTAATTACTTAATTCAGTGTACTGTTCTTGTATCATGCAAGTCTCAAGTCCAAATATAATATAGAGCAATGAGTTTTTTTAGTGTTTAGAGAGCCACAAGGGCGAGGGTGAGAATTGATCCTAAGATCTCTTGAAATCGGGAGGGATGCTCTAACCACTTGAGCTATCCCTCACTCTCATATAGAGCAATGAGTTAATTGCATCGTTAGCTAAATATATTTTTATTTCCTTTTTTTGGAGGGGTAATTTTAGTCGTTTAAGTAGCCATAGATTGATTCTTTTAGATATTCACATAGAAAGATCATACTTTGCATTCGTATATAAACTTATTAAAAATTACTTTAGTAGTGATATTTTTTGTTGATTATAGTACTCCATAATACACTCGTGACTTGTGACTTTGTGAGTATAACATGTTTCGTACAAGTACAGTTTTGCTTATTTAAGATAATATTCATGTTCATATCTCTATCTTCCGGGCATGTTCAGTCGTTAGACATCTATATTTTTTTCACCCTAGCTACAAACATTAATGTAGTATGAAGTTTTAAGAAATAAGCTAGGCCTTATATTATTCTTGTATTTATTAAAGCTAGATCAATAATTTGATTATAAAAAAAATTGTGTCAAGGTGCATAAGCTTTGTATGGCATGACGTCGAGCTTAGGTGTAAGGTGGCGCGATTTCAATAGAGCAGCCAGTCCAAAAGGTGGTGTGATAGAAATTTCAGGCAAATATCAAAATCTACTTTTCATTTTTCTAATTTTAATTCTACTTCTATTTAAAGAAAAGTCAGCTAACGCGGTTCTTTCCTCACTGCTTTTTTCGGATTCTTCAGTCCAAAACTTTATTATGTCAAACTACATGACAATTTCCAAAAGTTCCTGTATAATCAAGGCATTATTATGATTTTAATAATTATTTAATCTATGGTTGTTTCACCAAGATTGATTTTTTCTTCTTCTTGTGTTCCACCTTAATCATCTAATTAATTTACTGTATAACGTTAATTGGATTTCACACAATCACACTAGATGACTGTTCTAGCTTTAATTTGATGTTGAACGGGACTTAACTCACTTAAATTTGAGAAATCAAGATTTTTGCAATGAGATATATAACTATGTCTATATACACCCTTTTTTTATGCTAGAGAAGTATAACTATGTAGTAAACTGTCAAGTGTGCATTCAATAAATTTTACCCTTTATTACAAAATTAACGTACTATCATAAAAAACAAACATGTAATTATGTAGATAGAATTTGATCCCGGGTTTCAAGTATCACCCCCCTAAAACTCGAACTAGCTGTGTTAATTCACTTAATCGGCATCCTCTATATACTACAAAGTATAAATATAACGAAGAATAAACTTAAAATAGATAACGATACCTAAGAAACTCTAATACAATATCTTTACCTTAATTCTTACCATTAGGCATTAACCCAAAACCTTGTAGTGGGTCACTAACTTCAATCAACTTTCCAATTCAAATTAGAACTATAGATGAATTTTAACTCCCAATATGGGCTTAGCCCACCATGTTATTGGGTAGAAAGCTCTGATAAACCTCACCTATTTTAAGAGGCATAAGCCCAAATTTCTCAAAGTAAAGGCCCAAAGTTTAAACCCAGTTTATGGGCCCTTTTTTAGGCACTTGTAGAGTTATAGTTTGTGCCACTAAATTTTATAGTTTGACTGCCGAAAGCAAAAGAAAAACAAGAACAATCTGGAAATAATAAGATGCAAAAACAGAAAACTTTACTCCATTTTATTTAGGGGGATTCGTTTGCTTTACTCATGGGATGCGAATTGTTGTCACTGGTTATGAGAGACGACACGTTCATTTTGAATATGCATCTGACTATGTCGTGGCCATTATTTGGACAGCAACTCCCTTTTTCAACTTTGAACCTTTGATCTGCTGCTCTTATTCGCACCATTTATTTTCTTCTCTGAGGCGGTGCCATTTTCTGATTATACCTAATCCATTACAGCAAATCTTTCATTATTTTGGATAACTAACTATTTGAAATTCTTAATTTGCCCTTCTCGTTTTTTTGATATAATATACGGAGTAGAATTGAATTACTAGTATGAGTAATATTTGGACTCATTAGTCATTATGTATTCCTAGACATGTAATCAATGCTGTAATTTAACACTATGATATAAATTTTGTTTACATTGTTGTGTTGTTGCTCTATTGAACGATAAAACCTTTGTTGTTATTTACTAACTAGTCACTTGATTTTTTACATAAAAGTCATGAAGCATATGTTACTTTGTTTTTGGTGCACAACATATGTTACTTTGTGATTATAATAGCATTCCCTCTCTTAAAAGTTTTCTAACGTTACATAACACACTCTTCAGTCTTAACCATTTTGAAAAAAAATATATATATATATATATATATATATATATATATATATATATATATATATATATATTGCACGTACTACCTCCGTTAAATGTTATGTGCAACTTTGGAATATTTTATTTCTCACAATTAACGGAGATAGTATATATAATCCAAAGTGTATATTCTAAAGACAATGACCATGTTTGGTAATTGGTTTTTTAATGGCTTTTTGATTAGCTTTTGGCTTTTTTAGATAGTCAAACAACCAAAAAATGTGTTTGGTAATTGGCTTTTTAGCCAGCGAAAAAGCTGGCTTTTAAGCCAAAATAAAAAAGTTGCTTTGAGTAGCTTTTTTGTTGGCTTTTGACTTGTTGGCCCACAAATTATCTAATAAACATCCATCAACCAACAATTAATTTACCAAACACTTTTATAAACAGCCAGTTTAAACAGTCAATTTCAAAAGCCATTATAAACAGCCAAACATTTCAGCTGGTCAAACAAGCCAAGTGAACCAGCCAACAGCAAACTGCCAACAACCATTTGCCAAACAAGACCAATGACAATAATGCTAGAAATATGAAAATGCTCTCTATGTTAGGGCTTGTTCTCATTGACTGAACTGAGATGAAATGAATATTTTATAAGAGAAGGAAATTAGGAGCTGAACTGAACTAAATTGAGTTGAGCTGAACTGAACTGAACTGAACTGAATTTCAACGTAAGAGAACAGACCCTTAAGAGGATTCAACCTTATGACCTCAAATTACAAGATAATCTCAAACCAATTACTTCTAAGTCCTAACAAGTTTGGTACAAAAATTTATTTCATTAATAGATCTACTATGTTTAATTTTTAGTTTTCCTCTTCACCAAAAAAAAAAAAAAAAAAAAGGAAAAAATAAAAAAGTTGGCTATGGGCAAAATGGTAAATGTAGTACCAATCAATGGCTACAAGCCTATAAACAAACATTTCCATTAAGTTATACACGTCATGAATTCACCACCATCATCAAATTAAACATACCATTAAACCTGTGAAACTACGACTACACTACTATTTTTTGCAATTTGGCCTCCTCTCTTTCCCTCCCTCTTTCCCTCCTCTTGCAGAACCCACAATACATTTAAATAACGCGAATTCCTCATTTCACTTCTAACATCAATTTAAACAACAACAATATTAAAGATGTGGCGGTGCGTTTCGCGAGGTCTTCGATCTCATTCATGGAACAACACCTCGAAATCATCTCCAATCTTCTCTCATTCTCTCTTTCCAAGATTCTTCTCCTCTCAATCTGTAAGTTTTTCTCTGCATTTCTAGGTTTCAGATTATTGTTAATTTTCTTATTAATTTCATTTTCAATTTTGCGATCTTCAAAATTCAATCAATTTTTTTTTTATGATTAATTGATGAAATTGTTGCAGAGTGCTGTTGGCGGTTCCAGTTACACGGTGGTGGACCACACCTACGATGCGGTGGTCGTCGGAGCTGGTGGCGCCGGATTAAGAGCCGCCATCGGATTATCCGAACACGGATTCAATACCGCTTGTATCACTAAGCTTTTTCCTACTCGTTCTCACACCGTCGCTGCTCAGGTTTATTCATTATTTTATTTATTTATTTCTTCGTTTTGTTAACTTCGATTGTAATTATTCATTGTAATTGGACCTGATTGAATTAGAATAACTTGCCGAAATTCGATTAGATAAACCATTTTTATTCTGTGGTGATGTTATTTTGATGTGTTGTTTTGCTATATAATGCAAGAGTTTTTATAGTGTTATTTCCGAAGAATTTATTGTGATTTTTGAGGTGTATATACTATGATTTTATTGTTTTTTGAGGTGTATATACTATGATTTTGCGTTCTTCGTGTATCGGTGTATACGCAATGTGATACAACACAAATAGCTGCAGGATTTTTTTTATGATTTCGTTAATGATCGAGTCAAGTTCAGTACATGTAGCTGTAGCTGTAGCTGTAGAATATTGATTGATTCTGAATTGTCTCTTGCTTTATAATGTGTTCGGCATGTCATTGATGATATTATAAGTTAATTGTAGCTATAGAATTTTGTGTTTTACTTGTTGAATGTATTGTGAGTTGAAGTAATGAAGTGTGGGTTTGGTGTAGGGTGGAATTAATGCTGCTTTGGGTAATATGAGTGAAGATGATTGGAGATGGCATATGTACGATACGGTGAAAGGAAGTGACTGGTTAGGTGCGTGCAATTCAACTCATTTTTTTTCATTATTATTACAGTACAATTGCTCCTTTACTGTTTTATAGTTAAACAGACTCTGCATTTTCTACTTCGGAAAATCTGTTGTTTCCTCGGCAGAAACTCTTGGATTGTTGTATGAGGCGGAATCTCTGTTTGCAGGTGACCAGGATGCCATACAGTATATGTGCAGAGAGGCACCAAAAGCTGTGATTGAGCTTGAGAATTATGGCTTGCCATTTTCTCGTACAGAAGATGGGAAAATATATCAACGTGCATTTGGTGGTCAAAGCTTGAACTTTGGAAAAGGTCTGTGGATAAAAAAAGTTCACGTTCTATTATGAATTGCTGAATTTGATCTCTGATACTTTCTGCGTTGCCTGTCATCTTACTACAGGGGGGCAAGCATATCGATGTGCATGTGCTGCTGATCGTACCGGCCATGCTTTGTTACACACTCTTTATGGACAAGCTATGAAGCATAATACACAATTTTTTGTGGAATACTTTGCATTGGACCTTATAATGGATGATGAAGGCAAGATAATATCATTCAAAATCATAATATTTATACTGATTTTAATTTCAATATTGAGTATGGCTCAAGGGAATTGATACCTGTTAAAATATAACCTACTTTCCTGCAAGAATTATCCTTCTGGATGATAAGCTCTTGAATAGATGAGAGTGCTCTTGTTGAGACTATGAGTTTGCAGCCAAGTGAATAAGATCTTGAAATTTATTGAAATATCCTCTTGCTTGTTGTCAAGTTTAATTTGTGCTGTCGCTTTGCAATCCTAGATTAAGCAAATTAAACGATTCATCATCTCCATTTTGTTATATAGATCTTGTGGGCATGACATTTGGTAGGCTTGCTTTTCCTTTTTCCTGGTGAATCTTTCTGATTATTGATATTATGCTTAGGTTCTTGCCAAGGTGTAATTGCTTTGAATATGGAAGATGGGACATTGCATAGATTCCGTTCTAAATCAACAATTTTGGCTACTGGGGTAACTTAATTTATTAATTTATAAAAACATTCCTTGTTTTGCATAACACCATGTTCATAATTTTTTCAAAATTTCACTTCTCTTTTTCCTTTTTTTAGGGATATGGACGAGCATATTTCTCTGCAACTTCTGCACATACATGTACCGGAGATGGAAATGCAATGGTGGCACGAGCTGGCCTTCCATTGGAGGTTAAAATCCTTGCCATTGCTTTATTCTTATTTCTTGATGCTTACTCATTGGCAGGCTACTCTAACATGATTGATACACCTTTGATGTTCTGCTATGCTAACATTGTATTGTTTTGCAGGATCTTGAATTCGTGCAGTTCCACCCAACTGGTATCTATGGTGCTGGATGTCTTATCACTGAAGGTTGATTCTTCTCATACTAAATATATGGTGTTGTTCTACTGTCCACTCATTCTAAATGGACGTTGCTTAATCATCTGTAGTTTAATTCTGAATCTACAATTTTCTTAACATTTGCCATCTGCATCTGCTTATTTCTGCAATTTTGCTGTAGAAGAGAGCTTTCCTTCTCACCTAGCATCCAGATAAAAAGAATAGATGGAAAATTATGGCTAATTAGCTGTGATATAATGTTCTTCTTTGCTACCAGGGTCCCGTGGTGAAGGAGGTATTCTGAGAAACAGTGAGGGTGAGCGGTTCATGGAACGATATGCTCCAACAGCTAAAGATCTTGCATCCAGGGATGTTGTGTCTAGATCTATGACGATGGAAATTCGAGAAGGCCGTGGTGTAGGTGAGATGCATCTGTTCTTCTATTGTATATGCTTAATATACTTACTCTTATCTCTGCACCTAGATATGGAATTGTGGAGGGAATGAAGAATTTCCTGAAGATGTTGATCCATCTAGGTTTCATTATTGTGTAATACAGCCCTTGTATTTTTCCCCAGATTTCCTTAACAGTATCCACAGGTGGTGTTTGTAGATTTTTTGGTGTGCGATCTATCTGCCTGTCAATAGCAGTTGTGTTCACTTTTGACCTCTTTGTGGTGTTAGAAGTCTTACAAATGACTTTTGGTGCCCCCCCCCCCTTCCTGTTTACTTTGATGATAAGTTGCTGATTATTGTTTGGTTATTATTTTGTTCTCTGTTCCATATTTGGTCAACCCAACCTGTCATCTCACTCATGCCATAGTCTGAAATTATGCTAAATCTGCCATTAACAGGACCATTGAAGGATCATATCTACCTCCACTTAAATCACTTGCCTCCAGAAGTACTCAAGGAAAGACTTCCTGGTATCTCTGAGACAGCAGCTATCTTTGCTGGGGTTGATGTTACTAAGGAACCCATCCCAGTGTTGCCAACTGTTCATTATAACATGGGTGGGATCCCCACAAACTACTACGGAGAGGTAATAGAATTAAGAACTTGATGTTAAAATAGTTAAATTTATTAAGTTTTTAAGAGTCTAATTATGGTTTTCTGCTCAGGTTGTCACCATAAAAGGTAATGACCCAGATGCAGTGGTTCCTGGATTATTGGCTGCTGGGGAGGCTGCTTGTGCATCAGTCCATGGTGCTAACCGTCTTGGTGCAAATTCTCTTCTTGACATAGTTGTTTTTGGTCGAGCTTGTGCCAACCGAGTTGCAGAGATCAATAAACCAGGTAATTGGACTTCAGAAGAAAGTTCTGCTTCCTACTGCCTGTATTATGAATGCTAGACTATCTAGTACCATCAAGATACTTAAATTTGGTATCCTGCAGGGGAGAACCAGAAACCTTTGCCTAAGGATGCTGGGGAGAAGACTATTGAATGGTTAGACAAATTAAGAAATTCAAACGGTTCTCTTCCAACTTCCCAAATCCGCTTAAATATGCAACGAGTTATGCAGAATAATGCTGCTGTCTTCCGCACACAGAGTACATTGGAAGAAGGTATAATAAGCGTATAATTTATGTATTAGGTGATTCTCACTTCTTGCCTATTTCGTTTGTATCAATTGGGAGGAGATGGCCTAAATATTGACACGAGTAGTTGTAGTTGCTTACTTGCTTCTTGATCTTTTTGATTTATTAGATTTGTCAAAACCTTATATGTCCTTGAAGGTTTTATTTTAAAAGCTGAGATGGAAATTAGTTGCTAGTATTTTGGCAATAGGATCACTAGTTTCTGTAGAAATATGGATCCGCTAGTTTTTGTTGATACAATAGGATCACTAGTTTCTGTTGATATATAAGATCACTAATTTCTATTGTCATATCTAATTTGCGTATAGGATCACTGATTATTTTTGGCATGTAGGATCACTAATTTCTTGTCTTATAGGATCTATCCTCAGGAGGTCTTAGTAATTTTACTGTGGGTATAAGCCATGTACCTTTTTAAGGCTTTAAAGCCTTTTTATTAATCCCTGCCCATGGGTAGACGAAATGAACTAAAAGGAAAAAAGGTTGTATGTTTAAGATTTTTACTTAATTATTCTTGTGCTGTGTCTTCTCTTAACAACCAAGTCAAACATAGTATGTCCTCCTCCATATGGGCATGGTTTCGTAAATCATGTGCCTTATTTTTACTCCACAAGAACAGATGATCTCCATGGCAACTTACAATTCTAATGTGTAACTTTCTGTTCTTGTATCTATTATTTGCAGGTTGTCAATTGATAGATAAAACATGGAGTAGTTTTCATGATGTTCAAGTCAAAGACCGCAGTTTGATATGGTATGGCTGATATCTGATCTTTTTATTATTTATTTATTTAGGTTATGGTTATTCATTAAATTTTCATTTTATAACAATATATTTAATTGCATCTTTTTTACATTGCTTCTCAGGAACTCTGATTTGATCGAAACCATAGAGTTGGAAAATTTATTGATTAATGCGTGCATCACTATGCACTCTGCTGAGGCTAGGAAAGAGAGCAGGGGAGCTCATGCTCGTGAAGATTTTACGGTTTGTTCAGCTGCAATATAGTTTATTCTTTCCATGAAATTTTTGGAGTGCACTTGTTTTCTGACATTCTTGCTCACTTTGTTTTGCAGACAAGGGATGATCAAAACTGGATGAAACACACTCTAGGGTATGTGATATACACTTTATGCTCTTGTTCTAATGACAAGAATGCTAATGAATGTTAATAACACTCAGTTTACTGAAATATAGTGGACAGAATGTACTCCCATTTCACCGTCTTACTGAAATAACTTTGTCCATCCACCACCATCAGGATCATTATCTTTGCATGCAGCTTGTTAAATTATACTAATATATTGTCTTGAGTATTCTCGTCCTTCTCTCTGCGGTGTCACAACCAAAACCATTAGTAGCATCATGTATATATAGTGTTTCTGTCTTGCTTTTTTTTTTTTTTTTTGGTTGCTGCTTCTCTCTGGTTTAGATTATGAATAGTATATGATTCTGTATGTTCTTGCATATTTTTTTTGATAATGCAGATATTGGGAGAATGAGAAGGTTAGACTAGATTATCGGCCAGTCCACATGAACACATTGGACAACGAGGTGGAGTCTTTCCCTCCTAAGGCTCGTGTATATTGATTCAGCCCACAGAAAATTCTTATTTGTACGGATTGTACCCAGGTAAATCTAGGAAGGTGTACACCCAGTGGCAATTTTGTAATTTCATGTGTTTTTGTTCCTGGTTCAGTCTACCTCGCTTGTTTAACCCAGCTCAAAATAATAAACCCTTGCCCACAAACCTGTTTACATTTAAAAATTAAATAAACCAAACTCAGATGAAGCTGATGATAACAATCGGAATAAAAAAAAAGGAGAGACACGGAGCTTTCTCATTTCGCCGTTGTTGAAGCTTCCAAAAGCTTCATTTCCTTCAATATAAAAACATGATGGCAACAAAAATATTGATCTTCATCACTGCTCTGTAAGTGTAATTGTGTTATTATATGAGCAAAACAGCTGCAATAAATGTAGATTCCAAGGGTTGGAATATTAGTATCAACAAGGTACAATTTTAAATTTCTACTATAGATTGTATATATATTTAAATACTTGTACTAGCATGGAAGTTTTACTCTTTTATAAACCCTACATATAAATTGATTGATTTACGATATATGAGCGTAATTCTATGTTCGATTTCTGAAGAACTTTTACCTTATGATTTTATTGATACTGGGTATTTGGGTAATAAACTTATTCAACATTGTAATTTAGTCACCAATCCATTATTTAATTTGCTTTGATTTCTTTTTATTTGATTTTAAGCATGAATCTGTGGATGAATTTTAATTTAGTTTCGGTTGCTATCATTACGCTTACACTTATTCCTACTGATATGTGAGATTTCCCATAATCCCATGATCCCATCTGCCAAAAAATGAAAAGAAAAGAAAAGTGAGATTTCATTGAAATTTATAGTTTTTTTGGTTTTTCTACTAGTCATTTCATTACTAGTATAATTGCAATTTTTAAATCCATTAGGAGTTTAGAACACTGTTCAATATTTGCTCATTTAGTGATGCATTTCTAGTTTTGTACTTTGTTTTTTTTTTTTTTTTTTTTTTTTTTTTTTGTTTATTATAGGAAGAGCATGTACGTAACAATTAGAATGAGGTGCCTTGGTATTGTTGCTGTGATTTTTTATCATCTATTCATATATCTTAAGTGATTAATTTAAAAATGGTATCAGCTGATCTAGTGCTTTCCAACACTAGCTCTGTGATAGTCAAGTTTGCGCAAATCTAGTGGATGAAATCATAGGGGGAGTTGAGGTATTTATTGTATCTTAGTGAAGATGATAACTGCAAAACATAACATTGTAAATTACAATGTTGTCAAAGAACCTCGCAAAATTCATCGAATTGGCAACAAATTCACGAAGAACTGAATCAATACGATAGTATATAAATTATGAAGATAAAACATATACTCCGTATCAAACCAATAAAATAAACCAGGCCAGGTTGAGTAGTGAAGAATTTCGAAGGGATAGACCGATAGCCTTGGGTATTTCCAGATAAAGGGTGTCAAAGTAACATGGACTATATTAGGCTATTAGCAATGATTTAGGCTTTGTTTTCCTCATCTTAATACAGTTCATTTTTGTCTACTAAAAAATTTGATTTTATAATTTACTACGGCGTACATATATAAAATAATAAGGAATACATATTGTATTCTTTTTTCTTTCTTTTTTTTTTTTTTTTTTTTTGATAATTGTAGTTTTGATTTATTATTTCAAGTAGTTATGTACTTGTAGACTCATAGTATTAACTTGGACAAGTTTATGGGCAAATAACACTACAATGATCATACGGAGTACTGTTTAAAAATGAGTCAGTGACATCGATCTTGCTACGGACTTAAAAATAAAATCACTTTTGTCTTGAGCTTTAATTATTAAGTTTGCTGACAAACGAGAAACGACTATTTTTCTTCAGTTCTTCTGCTAAAAAAAAAAGTACTTAATTCACCACCATCATCAATAATCGTCAGAAAATTAAAAAATAAAAATAAAAATAAAAAACAGCAATCATTTGCTTAAATGATATAGTCAAAAGCACAGTGACATCCACTACCAAGTGCTAACGTCTTTCTCTAGTAATTAGAAGTAATCTCTCCCCTGTATCGCTTTAGAAAATATAATATTTTAATTAGTGTGATCTAAATTATGAGTAACTTATATGAGAAAATATAAAAAATACACATACATCTCTCAAGTTGTATCCTTAAATGATATGTTTAACATGTCTTTAACCGTCTATTCTTTCCTAGGAAAGAAGTACTCCTACATACAAAATTTTACTAGTAATATGATTAATGTAAAATAGATATACTCTGATTTTCTTTGACCAAATGTTTAAGCTTTAACATTCAACAATCCAATGCATGTTAATGATCGTTTTTAAATACCTTACTTAAGTTACACAAAGTCACAAACCCTCTTACGCTAAATGAAAAGGGAAATGTTAGGTGCATGTAGCACACTTGCATAAGCCAAAAGAGGGTTTATTATATCATTTTGATTAAGGTTTAGGTTGAATTAATTCATATTAGGTTGTTTTATAGATAGAGTCTATTTTAGTCACCAGACTTATTAGTTATAACAATTCAATTTAAGTTGTAATTGATCTCAAATTAGGTCAATTTCAATTCGAGTTAACCCATTTTAAGTACGTGACAAGTTGATGTTAGTTCAGATTGAAAATATAATCTCCGTATATGAAAAAAAAAAAATAAATAAAAATGCAGTGTGCCAGTGTGAGAAAACTCGCGTTCTTCTGCTCGATTCAATCCCTTGATGCAATAATTGAGAAATGCCATAAATGACTGCTACATGCTTACATAGATATAGTACTCGGAGTAGAAGTGAAGTGTCCCAATGCAAAGTATTCTCATCTTTAAATCATCAAATGTAAATTTATTTTTGACTAGCAAAGCAAGCACCAACCATTTACCAATTACCATTAATTTTTAATTTAATAATCTCATCAGAAAGTGAGAGCTAACACACTGATTTAGATTAATTTGCAGGTCATATTATATTATATTTCGTTTCTTCACTTAAATTATTATGTCTCCTTCCAATATTCAAAACTTTTGAATATTCACTATATAAAACAATTCTACACTTTTATTTACTGTGTTTAATTTTTATTTTTTTTCTATTTATTTTCCAGTAGTTTTTCATGGGATTGGGGCAGGTTAACTACATTTTCATTAAAATTACTTTTTATACATTCTAAACTAACAAAGGTTGTGAGAGAATCTATACAACTTTGTATAAGAGATTAGGAGACATAGCTTCAGACTAAAGACTTCCCTGTTGCACTTTCTTCAACGGGACTTTCTATCTACACTTCAAAAGATTTTCCTTTGCATTCCATCAGTAGTAGAATAACTGATACTGTATAATAAGTGAAAGTTAAAAAATAAAAAATAAATAAATAAATAAGTTTGAACAATTAAAGAGCACTCCGTAATATTTACAGATGTACTTACGGTTTTTTTTTTAGTATCTCAGTTCACTTGGAAACGTATGTCAATGTTAAACTATCACTTTATATAAATTTATATCCTATGATTTTAACTTGTAGGCAATACGACAGACTATATGTCGTATTTTAAACTTTGACAATAAAGTGTGAAGTCATATGGGAAAACAATAAATTGCTAGTAACAATTGAGTCTATTAGTCTAAAAGAAACAAAGTTCGTTCATTACTTTAATAAACTCTCCTAAAACTCCCTGAGACAAGCTTAATGTTCTTAAGCATCCTCATTAAGGACAAAACTTAGCTCCTCGCAATTAGAGATACTTGTAGCACAAGTGTACAACTCACAACTCATTCATACGACACCAAGAAAGCAACCAATTTGAATTTTTGACGAGAATTTCTCTGCTTAATGTACATCCTCAACCTTGCATTTGTTTACAATAAAAATGAGCTCTTTCGTTCTCTCTTTTTGTATATCTTTCATAAAATTGTTGGCATGTTGCTCAACTTGGTGTCTCTTTCGGTTAGGATGAGTTCCAGAAAGTGACTTAGTTTGATTGTTTGAACAATTTATTGCGGCTTTAGACGACTTTTCCACGTCTTTTCCTTTTTTTTTAAACAAAAAATTGCTCTAGTTATTAAAATATGTTACATACAGTTTCTTCTGTTGGCAATATAGAAGTATTTGCTTTAGCTTTCATCATCTACTCCTAATAAAGAAGAAAGGAAAAAATCATAAGCAAGTAACTTGATTTATTTATTATAATATGAAGTAGAAATATTGTTCTCATTTTGAACACCTTGAGTCCAATATGCAATAAAAACAACCATTTGATACTTTTTTTTTTTTTTGTTTATACATCTATAGTCTCTTGTTTGTATGCACAACTTATAAAGCTCGAAATTCTAAATGTTTTTTTAAAGAAGACAGGTGCTATAATATTGTAAAGTTTACTAATTTATATTAAGTTTGGACATTTAGTTAAGATTAAAATTTTGAATAAAGCGATTGTTCAAAAAATCTTGCAAGTTGAACGTGAGCGACTTGAAATGCTAAATGCCATATATGGATTAATTGAGAAGTAGCATATTGATAAGGATGTTGCAGTGCCAATTGCCATGTATGTAATCCCATGCAGTGATAATGTATAATTGCAACAAAAACAGTATGAGAAAGCAAAATGAAGGCATACGATGTGCGTAAGATGAGTTAGATTGACACTAGTGCTTTGTCTAACGGGATGAAAATGAAATAACCAATGGTGAGAGAGAAAGTGGGCTTGATTTTTGTGCTGAAATTTCACATCTTACCAGGACCATGCAAGGACTATGACTTCTAATTTGTCTCCTTTTTACCCATTTCTTTTTTGTTGCTTTCTTTTTATTGCTATTTCAGGGTGGTCATTACCAAAAGATGATTTTGATTAAGTAACTTCTATGAGTAGAAGTTTTTGTTATATTTCACTTATAAGTATTACTGTATGAAATTGATGTGTGATGGTTGATTTACGTTATTGTTTGATTGAACATAAGTTGATATTGTTTGATTGAACATAAGTTGATAAGTATATAACAAATTCAGTTCATAAATATTATTGGACTTGTAGCTGAATGTGGTTCGTTTATAACACTTAAAAGAAGTTGAGATTGATTGATTTGCTAATCATGTATACGATACAACATGGAAAACTTTCATCTCTTTTACATTCTTTATTCAATTAATATTTTATTTATGACTCATTCTACTTATGAACGATACTAGAGATGTTTTATTTCGATATAGCTTACACTGAATATACTGTCAGATAATATAAAACTCCTTGATTAGAGTGATTTCCATTGATCAATATTTATAGGGTTACAATGAGAAACCTAATCATATTAGGTAACATAAGATATGTATAGATATCAAAGATAATCTTATACAAAATATATCCTAAACCTAAGATGAGAATATTCTATGGATATTCTCTATCACACCCCCGCAGTCGGAGCGGGAGATAATCGGATGCTCAGACTGGATCTGAATCACGCATCGAGCGGTAAGGATAGTATGGTAACCCATGATCAAAAGGGAAGTAGTAGACATGTGCCGATGATGACGATGAGAAGCAACA